CCAGCCCCCAGTGTTTCTGTTTTGAACATTTAGATCTTTGATCCATTTTGACCTGAGTGCATGGTGATAGACATGGGTCTAGTTTCAGTCCTCAGCATGAGGGCCGGCGTTATGCTTTTAATTTTTTTTTTTTTTAATGTTTCTAATTTGTAAGTGAAAGCTTTCCCTCTTCCCTTCCTGCTTGGCTCTGTCCCCACCGTCTTCTCTCACTGGCTCCCCACAGGCCTCCATCTCCAGAAATCCTGTAATAACTAGATGCATTAGGCGGTTTTCCATCACTGTAGCAAATACCCGAGAGAAATCAGCTTAAGAGGAAAGGGTTATTTGGGCTCACAGCGTTGGAGATTCCGGCTTATGACTTACTGGCGTAGCACACAGTTGAGCAGGCAGAGACAGAAGGAAGGGACCGGAGCCCAGCTTTGCCGTCATAGGCTCAGCCCCAATTGCCTGACTTCCTCCCACGAGGCCCCACAAGGTGTTCCACCTCCTCCCAAGAGCACCACTGTGGGACCAATCCCTCAACACATGGACCTTAGGCGATATTTCAGATCCAAACTATAGCGCCTGATCTGTCTCTTCCCACAGCTTCCCAAACTCAGAATTCATTGGTTGTGGGAGATGCAATGAGTAACAAAACCAGCAAGTACCAAACCAGCTGGCTCAGCTAGAAATGGTAGTGAGTCTGGAGGCAATGACCACCCCCAAGTTCTGGTCTTGCGCATCAGGTACCAAGCAAATGACAGGTACGGTACTGGGACAAAATTTCTCATCAGTGTGTTGAGTACCCAGCACGACAAGTTTCAAAACAGTCAAGTACCAAGGCATGAATATGAATGTGATCCTACACATACGATTGGTACATATGTGGAGAGATACTCACATGGCTATATGCACAGGGATACCAGTGTGCAGCTATGGACATGTTTTCACATACAAGCCCTGTGGGATTAGTTCTTTTATCTTCCAGAAATAAGACATTAGCTATAGCGCTCTGCATCTTGCTCCACTTTTTCATACCTTACTGACATCCTCTAAATCATTTGACCCTCCCTTCCCTTCTTCCCTCCCTCCTTCTTTTTCCTCCCTCCCTCTCTCTTGCACTCTCTCTCTCTCTCTCTCTCTCTCTCTCTCTTTCTATCTCCCAGTACTGGGGATTGAATTCAAAGCCTGAGCTATATCCTCAATCTTTTTTAAATTTTCATACAGAATCTTGCTAAATCTCTGAGTTACCCAGGCTGGACTTGAACTTGTGATCCTCCTACCTCAGCCTCCTACCCCAATGGTAGGATTTCAGATGTGTGCCCCTGTGCCTGACCGATTCCCCCTTTTTAACAGCTGGCTGGTACGGTTTCCACTGCCTACAGCAGAGATGAACTGACATTTAAGGGAAATTCAGTTTCTTTTTTTCTCCTGTCCCATCATGGGGAACTCACGCAATTTCCTGCTCTCTTCCTTTCACAGGGAGAGATTCAGCTGTAAAGAACACGATGACAGCATGACAGTATATTATCTGTTATGTGTCTACATGTCATAAATAATTTCCAATAACTTCAAAAAGCTTGGCTGACATACCCCTTTCACGAGTTTAGCAGAAAATCTAAGATGTATAATGAAATGATATGGAAAGTTACAGTGAAAAATTAAAACCTCTGAACATCCCTTCTCCCTGCAGATGGACTCCGGGGGCAGTAGGTAAAGTGCTGCAGTCCTGCGAAGGGCTGGGTAGGTCACCAGGGTCCGGGGCCGGGTGAAGGGAATGTGTGTGCTTGATTTGCAGTAGATGATGTCTGCCTGGCCTCGGGTATTTCTCCTTGAGCCTTTCTGCATGGAGGACGCTTGCTTCCCTCTGTCAGGCGGAACCTGACTATCCACCCTTCCTCTTGCCTCCTCCAACTCCACCTCCTTGAACTTTTAGGGGTAACAGCTTGGGATTCGTCACCAGCAACCTTCTGAGTCCCATCAGGCCTGATAGAAAAGTCTCACTGTACCTGTGCCCCTATTACATGAGTTCATGATTTTTTATTTTTATTTTTTTTGTCTTTTTGAGACAGGGTCTCACTATGCACTTCAGGCTGGCCTAGAGCTCACTTCATAGCCCAGGCTGGTCTCAAACTCGCAAGGATCCTCCTGCCTCAGCCTCCCGAGTGCTGGGATTACAGGCATGCGGCACCATGTCCAGCTAGGATTTCTAAGAGATAGACAGCAGGAAGACAGGGAGCAAAGGAGAACCAGGGCAGGAGAAATGGGAAAGAAGAAAGGCAGCGCTCTGAGCCTCAAGAAGGCTGGTCCAGGGGCGGTTGTGGTTACTCTTCTGTTCCAGCCTCTCCCAGCCAGGGCCTGGCACGCACCAGGGGTGCGTAACGCTTTAAAGAATGATAATGAATTCTAACAAGTGAGGAAAACATTATCCGCAAGCTGATTTCTGTCAAAGTTGGGCGCATATTTTTTCTTTCGCTTCAGGCAACAACGTGGGAGGCATGGCACTGACCTTTATTTAAAATTTTGGTATTTTGTTCAGCAAAACATCATGGATGTTTTACATTTGTCTTTAAAATGCTGCATTAACATATTCACCTTGGGGCCAGAGATATAGCTCTGCGGCACAAACGCCTGCCCAGCACGTGCAAGGTCCTGAGGTAGATTCCTGATACCCAAAAATCCCCCAAAACAACAAACATATTCATCTTGATCCCTGGGTGTTGGGCAGCCCCCTTAGCTTGGCATCCAAAGCCATCATCTCAGACTTTGACCTGCTTCTGACCAAACTGTATCACTGGGTGCAGGCGGCTCTCCCTCCTTCCTGGCTTATTTCTCACAAGTCTGTGGCATGGTGGGGTGAGGTGAAAAGACTGGACTTTCTTCAGGAGACTGGTGCTGAGTCTGCTGGGACTCCTGCACCTGCCTTGGCTCCCACAGGTCTCCAGGCAACTCTGTCCCCGCCTTAACCCTGCACTGTCTGTGTTTCCCTGGAATCTGAGTCCTGTGGGGTCAGGTGGCAGCTGTCTCAGCCACCAGGGCATCCCAAAAATCAACACCTTGCCACAAGGTAAGTGTATGTAACCTCAGCTTCCTCCAGGTGAGGCAAAGCCTGTCACTGCTGTGTCCCCAGCCTGACCCAGACACGAGGCATCCGGACACCAAGGAAACACCTTCACCTTCACTGGGTCTAAGATGTGCTTTAAATGATTTTCTTTTTGAGTGGGACTGAGGAGTGCACCCAAGGCTTTCACTTTAAACTACATCCCCAGCTTTTCCCTCCTTTTTTTTTTTTTTTTTTTTTTTTTGAGACTAGGTCTCCCTATGAAGTTTAGGCTGCCCTTGAACTCACTGTGTAGTCCAGGCTGGCCTGGAACACTCAGCAACCCTCCTGCCTCTGCCTCCTGAGTGCTGGGATTACAGATGTGTGCCACCACGCCCAGCATACCCTTCCTTTTATGAAGGCAAGGTGTCTGGTTAAGTTGCTCCTACTGGACTCAGACTTGCAATCTTCCTGTTTCAGCCTCTCAGAGTGTTGGGGTTACAAGTATGCACTCTTTCCTGTGCACTTTAAAAATTCTGAAATCAGGAAGTCACAGTTGATGGCTTCTTAACAATTGCTATCAGCCAGGAAGCCATTATGGTCTTGAGGTCACTGCTTGGATGTCAGTGGAGTCGGATTCAGGCCCCTGACCTGTGGGGGACAGTTCGCTGTGGAAAGTGCCCATGTCCATAGCCCAGAGATGGACGAATCTCCCAAGAGCCCTAGGGCCTGCTGAGCCCATTTATTTCCCTATCTCTGTGCACTGCACACGGATGTAAGATAAGGCTCTGCATTTTCTAAACAAGTTTCGCAAGCGCTCTTGCAGTAAGTGTGAAATAAAAATCTGAAGTGATAAGGAAAAACCAGGTCATCATTCTATTGATAGCATTTTTTTTTTCTTTATTACTTGAGACCAGAAAAGCTGGGCCTGACACCTTCGATTTGCTTGTATGCAGAAGCCGTAGAAGGAAGGAATAAATAAATGTGCCCCTCGTTTGTCTCTGTCCCCTCTCTACTGGTCTGGGCTTTGTGTTGTTTTGTTTTGTTTTGTTTTGTTTTGTTTTGTTTTCAGTGCTGGGGATGGAACACAGGGCCTCCTGCATGCCAAGCACGCACTCTACCACCGGGCTGGGCTGCATCCCAGCCCTAGCTCCTGGGTTTTACATCTGTCCTGGAAGGCAGTCAGAACTAAATTTTAGTTCCTGTCAAATGGGTTACTCTGACTCATATGCTTTCTTTTTTAATTAATTAACAACTTAATTATTTGTTTTTTTTTTGAGACAAAGCCTCACTATGTACTTCAGGCTGGCCTTGAAGTATGTAGCCCAGGTTGGCCTTAGGTTGCTGTGATTTTCCTGCCTCAGCCTCCCGAGGGCTGAGATTGTAGATGGGCACCACCACGCCCAGCCTGATGTGCTTTACAGCAGCGCCCTGTAACACGCAGGAAGCGTATGCGATTGTATGCATCGGCTGTGCCCTGGCGTGCGGCTGTCGAGGTTGCCTGAGTTCTCACCCATGAGTCACATTTTGAACCAGTACAGGCTCTGGCCTCGGCTCAAGAGTGAACACACGTTTGTGGAATGACCAAATAACCGAGTGAATTACTGGACAGCTGGATGTCTGTTCTCTGCTCTGGGTCTCCGGCTGGCCTGGGTCTTTAGCTGCGATGTGACTCCCTCCCGCGGAGGCCGTGGCTCACTCCTACCCTACAGGCTCAGACTGCAGACCTCAGTTCCTGTGCCTCCCGGAAATCCTCCCCGGAAATCCTCCCCGGAAGTCCTCCGGGAAGCCTCCCGAGCCCCGGGCTGGCTCAGGCGCCCACTCTGAGCTCCCAGGGCCCTGTGGAGGCCCCCACCCCAGTCTGCCCCCTCTGGGTGTCGTTATCTTGGGATGCCTCTGACACACCCGCTGAATGCTGAGGCCCCTGGCGGCAGAGCTGGGTGCTGTCTTGGTCTCTGCTGTGTTCCCAGCACCCTGCCCAGGACGGGGCCTGAGAGCTGTGGACTGCTGATGGGTGGAGAGAGAAGAGGAGGCTTGGCGGGCGATGGGGTGCGGCCTCTCCCACCAGCCACTCTCAGCTCCTGCACGCAAACTCCTCAGACGCGAATGCGCATGTGCAAGCGCTCTGCAGCTCTCTGGGCACCGCCCAGAGTCCCCCGGGCAGTGCCTGGGGTTGCTATCACTCAGAGCTGGAGCCTGGACTAATGGGGCTCCTGAGCGGATGTGTGGGTCCTGCGGGTACAGCCTGCCTGGTCTGTGCAACCTGTGCTTCCCGAGGCCTGTGAGCCTGTGCGTCTCAAGGCTTGTGTTTTCCGAGGCTCACGTAGCCATGTATTCAGTGGTTCAGTATTTGGGGGACTTTCCCCCTCAGGACGGTGTGCGTGCAGGTGAATTTGGGGAAGGAGGCTAGAGTGTGTGTTTGGTGCCCAGGAAAGTCTGGCTTTTGTGCACTGGGGCCGGTGGTTGAGGACTTGACTGGGCCTGTGTGGCTTCTGGTCTGCATTTCCTCCTTGCTGTGGTATAGGGCTCATCACCCTTGCCTCAATTTTTAAGCCAGTCTACTGCTGAGGAAGGATTAAAAAAATAGATAAAAAGGAGGGAGGGCAGACCTGGTGGTGCACACCTGTAATCCCAGCACTCAGGAGGCTGAGGCAGGAGGATCACTGCAAGTTTGAGACCATCCTGGGCTACTAGTGAGGTCAAGGCCAGCCTGAACTGCATCGCTGGACCCTGTCTCAAAAAACAAAAAACAAAACAAAACAAAACAAAAAACCCTGAAAGGACAAGGGAGCTTGTCAAATGTGAAGAGGATCAAGAGATAGGGGGAAGGAAAGGAAAAGGAGTGAAAGAAGGAATGAAGAAGTGCGATGTGCACTGACTCCGCACTAGGATGTAAACGTGTACTGCAAACATCTGTTAATAAAAGATGACATGTGGGAAACGGAGGGGAGGCACCAAGACGGCAGAGTGGCAGCAGCAGAGAAAGAGCTTCTCCGAGTGTTGTGGCCCAGATGCTGGAATACAGCAACGAGAGGAAGACAAACGGGAGGGAAGTGGGTGCCCTGGACTCAGGGAGGATCTGAACCGAATGCGAATTGAAGCCCGCGGAGAAAGTGAAGGGGGAAAATTCAATGAAGAGGAAGGAGGTGACCACCGACGCCCTGAACCCTAAACCTAACTCTAACCCTAACCCTAACCCTGAAGAGAGAAAGAGAAAGAAGTAAAAGGAATAATGATAGGAAAGGAAGAAGTTAAACTATCATTTGCAGATGACACGATACTCTACACAGAAGACCCCAAAAACCCCACTAAAAAACTGCTAGATTTAATCAGCAAATTTAGTAGCATGGCTGGATACAAAGTCAACATTCAAGAACCAATGGCTTGCTGGGTGTGGCGCACATCTGTAATCCCAGCACTTGGGAGGCTGAGGCAGGAGGATTGTTGCAAGTTCA